GGGTGGCTCAGTTGGTTGGACGACTGCTTTCAGCTCAGGTCATGATCTCGGAGTCCCGGGATCGAGTCCCACATCGGGCTCCCAGCTCCACGGGGAGTGGGCTTCTCCCTCTGACCTTCTCCTAGCTCATGCTCTCTCTCACTGCCTCTCTTTCAAATAAATAAATAAAATCTTAAAAAAAAAAAAGAATCTCTTCTTGTAACAGGACACAGTTGGAAACATTGGTTATATTACCAAAGCTTTTCTGGAATGTCATATTTGAGACACAAATGTATAGACTCAGATAGGACCAGATAGTCTTTTTTTTAAAAAATATTTTATTTATTTATTTGACAGACAGAGATCACAAGCAGGCAGAGAGGCAGGCAGAGAGAGGAAGGGAAGTAGGCTCCCCGCTGAGCAGAGAGCCTGATGCAGGGCTCGATCCAAGGACCCTGGGATCATGACCCGAGCTGAAGCCAGAGGCTTTAACTCCCTGAGCCACCCAGGCACCCCAGGACCAGACCGTCTTAAGGAACTAAGGTTGACTTTGTGGAGCCAACGAAACCCCTTGGAAAAACAGGCAGGTACTTTGCTTACAGGGTTCCCAGAACCTAAGGAAGGTCACTTCTTGGTCAGCCTAGGAGCCTCAGGATATTTGGGGGATCTCGAGAAGAGAGAAATTCACCCAAATGGATAGGTATTGCAGGCAAGTTCTGATGAGCCCTTGGCTTGGCTTCTTAGCCTCCAGAGACTTCTTTATTTTGTTTTTAAAATTATTTATTTATTTACTGGAGAGAGAAAGAGAGAGAGAGAGACTGAGTGAGCATCAGTGGGGGAGGGGCTGAAGGAGAGAGAGAAGCAGGTCTCTCCACTGAGCAGGGAGCCCAATGCGGAACTCAATTCCAGGAACCCGGGATCATGACCCGAGTGGAAGGCAGACACCCAACTGACTGAGCCACTCAGGTGCCCTCTTTTCCTTTTTGTAATGCAACTGCTTGACAAAAGATTTCATTTCTGAGGCAGCCACTTCAATATCTCTCAAATAAGCACAGTGCCAGCTACATGCCTAGAGTTAGGCCACCTTCCCCTACTCAGGCCCCTTGGTTTTAGAGATCTTGGTTGATTTTGATAACTGGCCATTTGGGCCACTTGGTTTTTCTCTCTTCCTATGCTTTAAATTTCTGCTCTAAATTCATCCAATAAAGACTGAACCCACAAAACCCTAGGCCACCACTCTTAGAATCCCCAATAAAAGTAGAACCCTAGGCCTATGGATTCCCTCTTTCTTCTTGCAACCTTGCTGTATGGCCTCAGGTGTGCTGTGTAATTCCCAGGTCCTGTAAGCAATACCTTTTTTTTTTTTTTTCAAAGTTTCCTCATGGTTACTGCTGAAAGGCATCTTGCAATCCTAATAAAACCCACCAGGGCCAGTCCAACCACAACACTGATTATTGATTGGCCGGGATGGACAGAGAATAGCAGGGCATTTCAAGTCCTGGCTTCCCCACTTGCCAGAGAGTAATCTCTGTGCCTCAGTTCCCTCAACTGCAAAATGGAGATAGCAGTATTCACCTCTTGAAGCTGTGGAAGGATTGAATTAATAACTGTAAAATATTAACACTGCCTGGCCCAGAGTAAGTGGTTAATAAAAGCCCCTTATTTTGGTTGTTCAAAGAAGCCCATGGTTCAACCTATGTATGATGTTAACTATTTACTCTTCTAGCCCCTAAATTCAATATTTCTCCCAGATAACTGGGCTGTAAAATCAAAGTACATTTAAATCCGAGGCCATATAATTTATTGTCTGCACCAGGATTGTTTTGAGAGCCAAGGAGATATTATTAATAATTAAGCCAGGGGATAGCTGGCCCGCTCAGTCAGTGGAACATGACCTTGGGGCTGTGAGTTTGAGCCCCACGTTGGGCTTAGAGATTGCTTAAAAATACGACCTTCTTTTTTTTTTAAGATTTATTTATTTGAGAGAGAGAGTTGGGGGGGGGAGAGCAGAGGGAGGGAGAGCATGGATCTTAAGCAGTCTTCCCACTGACTGAGGAGTGAGGAGCCCAAGGTGGGGCTCCATCCCACGACCCTGAGATCAGAACCTGAGCCAAAGCCAAAAGTCCGGCACTTAACCGACTGAGCCACCTGGGCGCCCCTTAGCGAAATCCTTCCCGATTTCCTTCTTGAACATATACCTTTGTTTCCCCTAAGCCAGGAGGCCACCTTCTCTTGTCTAGCTGTGAGGGCAAGTGGACAGCTCTGTCTGAGAAACGAAGCCGTGCCTCCTTCCAAGGAGGAGCCCACCAGTGGCACTTCTGCTGTCTTCCAAGAGTGATCACAGTTGAAGTGCTGTGGCTTCCAAAGACCACAGACAGACTCAGTCGTGTTTCAAATATGCTACAAAGTCACATGGGATACTATGGATTCGTGGCTACTGCTTTAGATCATACTTGGGTCTGAGTCCTTTTTCTTTCAATAGTGGTCTGTATAAGGAGGCAGTGGCTTCTTCAGCCAAGGGGTATGACCCAGATATCCTAGCCATTGCTCCTTCAGTAATACTCCCAGTTGTGACCCAAGTCCCATGCAGAAGGAGGTACACTGGACCAGGGGGAAACAATCAGATATCCACAACCAGGGGAATGAATGGATACATTATGGTTCATTCACAGTAGAAGGCCTTCAGTGTTAAAAATGGGTCAGAACTCTACGCACTGCCATGGTACAATGTCCAAGATGAGTGGTTGAATGAATGTTTGTAAAACACGTATTTTCAGGGCACCTAGGTGGCTCACTGGGTTGAGCTTCTGCCTTCAGCTCAGATCATGGTCTCAGGGTCCTGGGATTGAGCCCCACATCAGGCTCCCTGCTCAGCGGGGAGCCTGCTTTCCCCCCGCCCCCCGCCACTCCCGCCTGCCTCTCTTCCTACTTTTGATCTCTGTCAAATAAATAAATAAAATCTTTAAACAAAACAAAAACACACGTATTTTTGTATTTATGCTTGCATTTGCTTAGGCAAATTCTAGGATACACAAGAAGCCATTAACCGTGCTTATTGGTAGGTTGTAGGACTTAGAATTTAGGGAATAGGACAGGATCAAGGAGGAGGACTTTCCTTCCCTTTTATGTTCTTGCTCTACTTGATGTGTTTCTTAGCAGGTGTTTGCCTTATAAACACTTGAAAATCATTTAAATAAAAATATTAGCCAGTGTTTTCATAGCTTCTCAGATAGCTATAATAGAGGTGATCATTTGAAAGCTATTTGTTATTTTGGATTAAATGTGCCATTTGTTTTCTCTAGAACTTGGAGGATTAGACTTACTTTTTTAAAAGTTTCTGTTTTTAGCAAATAGAAAAACTTTTAAAGCTTTTTTTTTTTTTTTGATGTTTCTCACAGGACTGGTAAAATCCACAGTTGCATCTGCCTTCCATAACCTAGCCTGGCCTGTAGCATCTGCCTTCCGAACAACTTGCTTATGATAACGAGAGGGAAGGTATCTTCCTGAGAGCCACACAGCAGCCCCACCACCCCCAGGCCTGGGAACCTCTAGGGCTGGAAGGGAAAGGAGGGAGTCCTGGGCTTGATCCCAGAGGGCAGAGTGGAGCAGCAGGAACATCATGGAGCCCTGCGGGAGGGGCTGGTCCAGATGTTTACAGCTGCCCACCAGGGAGAGCCCCCAGAGGTGTACCTTTGGCACTGATGGCCCAAAGCTGCCTGGTCTAGTTGACCTGAGGAGCAGCAGGCAGTGAGGGGGTGGGGGGACTGCGGTCTCTGAATCCCAGCTCTGTCACTTCCCAGCTTGGTGACTGGGCAGGGGAATTCTCTCTAAGCCTAGGTGTCTTTGGCATGACAAGTACAGGGCGTAGCTGAGGTTTGAGACTAAGTCTGCCTGACTCTAAAAATTAGTGCTTTATTCTATCACATGAGCGCTTCCTAGAGTGTGTCCGTCAGAGTCCTAGACCTGGAGAGGATAATGCGTCTTCCGGCTCTCACTGTCTGCTATCTCTCTCTGTGTCTCTGTGTCTTTGCGTCTTTCTCAGAAAGGCAGTAGACGGAAGTGGCTGGATAGCATGTTCTGGAATGAGATGGGATTTGACACCTGATGCTACTTCTAGAGTGATATGTTACCTTGGGCATGGTCTTAACCTCTCTGGGTTTCACTCTCCCCATCTATAAAATGGGGATAACAGCAAAACCCACCCGAGAGGGTGAGGATTAAGTGAGTTAGTCTGTGTGAAGCACTTCACGCCTCCCTATCCTCGACTCCTGGGGCTGAATGAGGTCTCAGGCCCAGTGCTATATCACACAGCACAGCAGGAGCCAGGACATCAGGTCATGAAAGTTCACGGTGGGACCTCTCCAAGGTTAAGAAAGTACAGGCTCCACCCTTGAATTCAAGGTATCAGGATTGTCAGTCCCCTCCTCCTGGGTTAGAGGGATACGGTGTGGAGATGGCCCTGGCCGTTTTGACTTTCAGACCCAAATAAAGCATTGATCTTGCCTCACTCCCGTGCATGTGGGGTGACTCAGAAACACAAAGGTATATGCACTTCATAACTGAGCTTCAAAATACATTAAGCAAAAACAAACAAACTGCAAGGGGGCATAAACAAATTCCAGTTACTCTCGGAGAGTTGATTACCCCTCTTTTAATAACGTATAGAACAAGTGGGTGGAAACTCCACCAGGATATAGTAGCGGTGAACAGCACTCTATCGGCCAGTCTGACCTGAGTAACATTTATAGGACACCTATAAATATGTACGACCGCAGAGTACTCATTGTGTCTGTGCTTCGGCTATTGTAGATAATGCTGCAATAAATGGTGTGTGTGTGAGAATGTGTGTGTTTAGATATCATTTGGAGTTATTATTTTCATTTTCTTTTTTTTTTTTTTTTTAGATTTTATTTATTTATTTGACAGACAGAGATCACAAGCAGGCAGAGCGGCAGGCAGAGAGAGAGGAGGAAGCAGGCTCCCCGCTGAGCAGAGAGCCCGATGCGGGGCTCGATCCCAAAGAGCTTTCCAGCTCTTTCTACGGCCAGGTGAAGCCAAAGGTTCCGTGGGGGGGGGCGTAGGAATTGGGGTGGGTGGACCCTGGGCAAAAATCAGATGCTTTTGGGGCGCCTGGGTGGCTCAGTGGGTTAGGCCGCTGCCTTCGGCTCGGGTCATGATCTCAGGGTCCTGGGATCGAGTCCCGTATGGGGCTCTCTGCTCGGCGGGGAGCCTGCTTCCCTCTCTCTCTCTCTCTCTCTGCCTGCCTCTCTGTCTGCTTGTGATCTCTGTCAAATAAATAAATAAAATCTTTAAAAAAAAAAAAAATCAGATGCTTTTTGTCTTAACACTGATGCAAGAAGGCACCAAAGGTGATGAGTCAGGCTGGAGGTAGGAAATAGACCTTAGGAAAGGGAGGCCTATGAGAGAGGAAATCCCAGTAGAGGTAAGCATGATTGGGCCAGGGTGCACTCGTTCACACACCACTGAGTGTGTACATGTGTGCTTGTTTGCCCAACTGGGAGGCGCGCCATTCCCCAAGGCCAGGGGGGTGAATTAAGCCCTTTAGTTATTGCTGTGCCATGCAGGGCACAGCCTCAACCCTGCAGTACCAGCCCAGAGGCAACAGACTCTGGGAACTCCTTGCTTCCCTGCAGATGTTTGAAGTCTTCTCCGGCATCCTGAAATACTCTCCGGGCATCCACAGGGACGTGTACAGCAAAGTCCGAGAAATTGAAGATTTTGTCATTAAGAATATCCAGAGGCACCGGGAAATGCTAGATCCCAGCGCCCCAAAGGACTTCATCGATTCCTTCCTGGTCCGCATGGACAAGGCAAGGGCCAAGCTGGATGAGGGGTGGGTGGGAAAGAGAGCGATGGGCACACTACTGATTTCGAGCTAATATGTTTGGGTACGATGTATGTGATGTTTAAATGTTGAAATACTTCCCTGCGAATTGGTAAGAAAGCCACTAGTCCACCCTCCCTTCCCATCTCCCAGTCCTTCCTCAGCTTTCCCAGACTCTCCTGGAACGGTGGTCTGAGGTAGCAACTAAAAGAGCTAGCGAGCACCGGCCTCACACAGGGGGTCTTCAAGACCCTTCTCCACCTCCTCGCGTTCTAAATAGGCAGAGGCCTAGGTCTGTTCTGATTAGTCAGAGGCCAATTTCTGTTCTGATTGGTTGGAGGCCTGTGTCTGTTCTGATTGGTCGGAAGCCAGTTTCTGTTCTGATTGGTCAGAGGCCCGTGTCTGTTCTGATTGGTCTGGCAAGTGCGTAGCTGGTTATTAAGTATTTCAGTATCACCCCTGGATAGACAACTGCAAGGAAAGAGAGACACCCAAAGAAAGGATAACAAAAAAAACAAAACAAAAAAAATTAATCCCTAACATGTATGGAGTACTTACAAACATAATATCAAAACAACCCCAGACAACGAACTAAGGCACAGAGAGGGTTAGCTCCTTACCCAAAGACTCCTAACTAGTGAATGGTAGGACTTTAGTTTGAACGTAGGCAGTTTGGGTCCAGAGCCCACACTTTTGCTCCACTGTTGGCCTCGAATAGAGAAAAAAGGAAATACCAAAAAGAAGAAAGAAAGAAGAAACTGGCACAGAATAACATGGAGGTGGGTTGGAAGAAAAGATCTAGAAGCTGAGAATCTTTGCAAGGGGAAATGTTAAGGATTGTCTGTCACTATCCCCAGGAGAGCTCTGATCCTGAGAGCGAATTTCACTTTAAGGACCTTGTCTACACGGTCGTCTCGCTGTTTCTCGCCGGCACAGAGAGCTCCAGCAACACTCTCTTGCATGGATTTGTACTCCTTCTTAAGAACCCTGATGTTGTAGGTGAGCTGGGCATTGGTGGTCGAGGGCCAGAAAGAGCTGAGGGTCTTGCAGCCATACTGGAAGGTGGTCGTGTGATGGGTGAAGACAGACCACTGTGGTCAGCAAAGATCCACCCCTGGAGGGACTGGTAGCTTATTATAAAGTTTTGCTGAGAACAAAGCACTTTGGAGTTGACAGGGTAATTTGCAGTTTACAAAATGTTTTCCATTCAATGAAGCCCCTGTGGCTTGAAAGGTACTTTACTTTTATAAAGTACATAAGGTGAATTGTAAAATGCTTCATGGTTTAGGAGGGGTGCTTCAACCAGGGAGTATCATTCACAAAGCATTTTGCAGTCTACAAAACCACATGGCTCTTGACAGAAAGCTTTGAGGTTAACAAAGAACTTGACTCTTTGAAGTATATTGCTGATTTATAGCTAATTAGAAAGGCCCTCATTCAGTTCTCATGCTGACAGTCTGCAGATCAGACTTGGAGAAACTCTTATCTAATCAAATTCCCTTATTTTACAGGTAATCAGTTTGAGAGCCAGATTGGGGAAATGGTTTATTCAAGATCACATAGCAAGTCACTGGGACAAAATGATATGACACCAGTCCCAGCCATACCCATTATTAGTTAAAAAAGAAAAGAAAAGAAAAGAAAAGAAAAAGATAGCCTTAAGTGTTGAGTGAGTTTCCACCCTCCCATCATTACTCAACTGATCTCCACTCATAACTAGCGTGGAAACATCAGACAAGACTTCCCCACAATGAAGCCACTGACTTTCATTCATTGAAAAGTCAATGAATGTTCCTTTCATTGAGAAGGAACAATAACCCAACATCTGAGCAAATAGTTCATAAGACACCCCTTCTCCCCAGTCTGCAGATCATCTTCTGTGTGACTTTGTTGAGCCCACTATTACTGACATTCATTGATGTTACCCCCTCCTTCCATCCTTACCATTTTTAGAGAAAGTCCAGGAAGAGATTGACAGAGTGATTGGCTCACATCATCTCCCAGCCCTTGAAGATCGGGCAAAAATGCCTTACACAGACGCCGTCATCCATGAAATTCAGAGATTCAGTGACGTCCTCCCCCTTGGTCTTCCGCGTTGTGTCATCAAGGACACTCACTTCTGGGGATATCATCTCCCTAAGGTGAGACCACAGAATCTTGGTGTAGCCTTATGGTTCATGTCTCTGGTCAATGGATCACAATGAGAATTATTATTTCCAGATTTCTATGGGAAGGAGACAGATTTTTGAAATGTAGAAAAATCTTCTCCCTTCTGTCCTTTTTTTTTTTTTAACCTTTATTAGATGTTGGATACACTGGGGGGAAAGCATATACTTACTGAAGTATGTATTACAATAGAGCTGTTTTTTTTTTTTTAAAGCATTTTGTCATCTCCCCTACCTTCCTCTTTCATGAGAAGACATTCAAAGCTTTGTTTCTCTTTCTATAATTTCTTTAAGTTTACATGAACATGCACTCCATATATACACATAATAGATGAGCTTATTTTTTTAAGGGTTTATTTATTTATTTGAGAGAGAAAAAGCACATGGGGGGAGGGCCAGAGAGAGAGAGAGAGAGTCTTTTCTTTTTTAAAGATTTTATTTATTTATTTGAAAAAGAGAGAGAGAGAGAGATCACAAGTAGGCAGAGAGGCAGGCAGAGAGAGAGGGGGAAGCAGGCTCCCCACTGAGAAGAGAACCCAATGTTAGGCTTGATCCCAGGACTCTGAGATCATGACCTGAGCCGAAGGCAGAGGCTTAACCCACTGAGCCACCCAGTCACCCTATATTTTCATTTTCTTCAAATAAGTACCCAGAAGTTGGATCCTATTGTAGTACTTTTTTTTTTCCTTTTGCTTTTTGCTTTTTGCCCTGTTACTATTGCCCCTGAGGAGGCGCACCATTCCTGGAAGTACTACAATACCAGGTCGATGCGTGGGGTAGACAGAGCAAACTCCTGTTCCAGGTAGTTCTATTTTTAATTATTGGAGGCACGTCCATACTGTTTCCCATGCTGGCTGCACCAACTTACGTCCTCACCAATGGTACACAAGAATTCCCTTTTCTCCACATCCTCACCCCTCACCAGCACTTGTTGTTTCTTGTCTTTTTTTTTTTTTTTTTTTTAATAAGTAATTTCTATACCCAACGTGAGGCTCAGATTCACAACCCTGAGATCAAGAGTCGCATGCTCCACCGACTGAGCTGGGCAGGGGCCCTGGTTTCTTGTCTTTGTCATAACACCCATCCTAACAGGTGTGAGGTAATAACGTCATTGTGGTTTTGACTAGCATTTCCCTGATGGTGAGTGATGAGTGATGATGACTGGGGAGCTCATGTACTTGTCCTTCGTGTAACCGGCTAAGGGATGATGTCATTGGCCTACTCCCCATATGACCCAGTCCTTATTTTAATCCCATCTACAAAATGCCTTCTACCATATCAGGTAGCATTGACAGGTTAGGGGGATTAGGACAAGGACATATTTGGGAGGCCACTATTCAGCTAATCCCAAACTTCAAAATAATGATACAGAGTGGAAAGAAGACAGGCAAAAAAAAAAAAAAAAAAATAGTGCATACCCCATGACTTCACATAAAATTGAGGAAGTGCAAGCTAATCTCTAGTGACAACAGACCAGTGGTTGCCAGGGGAAGGGATTAAAAATGGGGGGAGGTGTTAAAAATGTCGTGAGAAAACTTTCAGGTGATTGTTACGTTCATCATCTCGTTTGTGATGATGGTTTCACAGGTGCGACATGTTTCAAGCCTGACCAAATTGTACTTTACATGTAGCTTATCGGATGTCAATTATATCTTGGGAAAACTATTAAAAATGAAAAAAAAGTAAGCATACTTTCACATATGAAAACCAGCTCTTTTCACCTACCCGGGTCTGCTTGCATCCCCCACAGACCCTCTCCTTGTGTCTGCATCTCTGCCTCTCTCTCGCTCTTCTGTTCTCTCACTGTCTCTTTTGTCCCCTCCCTTTCTCTGCCTCTAACCGCATATTATCATCCTCCTCTATTTCTTGGTTTCTCCCTGTCTTGCCTCTGCCTCTTGGCATATCTCTTCTCATTATAAGTCTTTGTAATCTGATGTGTACTTTGCATTTATGGACATCTTTGTTGAGACTCTGACTTCTCTTCGGAAATACTTGATTTGCGTTTAGATTTCATGAGATTTATAACTGAAAAAGTGGATTCACATACCCAAGTTGTTCCAAATGTACTTAGAAGTTCTCCAAGAACTCAACTACCGGTTTCTACTTAAAATTATTTTTCACATTTTCTCCTGGGCATATTTTGAGTGCTTTATAGTTGCCTATGGCAAGTGGGTACCATACTGAGCAATGCAGCTCCAACCTGCTGTGTGACTTTGGGTAACACTCTAAACCTCTCTGTGCCTTACTCTCCCCATCTATAAAGTAAGGATGATAGCCATACTTACCTCAAAGGGTGAGAAGTGAGTGAGTTACTCGATGTAAAGCCCTTCATGGGTCCCTGTCAGTATTCTCTGGAGCTGGAATGAGGCCCAGGCTCAGGACCAGGCCACAGGGCACAGCAGGGGGCAGGACTTGGGTCAGGAAAGTCCATAGTGGCACCTCTCCCAGGTCAGAAAAGTGCAGGTTCCACCCCTGAATTCAAGATATCAGGACTAGCAGTCCTTTTCTCCTAGGTCAGAGGGGTATGAGTCAACTGCTAGGGTCAGGGTCCTGGGTCCTGCAAAGGGTTTACCCAACATTGCAAGACAGTTGCTGCCTCATCTCCCCCATTCCCTTTTGAAGATTTACTCATTTATTTTAGGTTGAGAGAGAGAGAGCGCACGCACAGTGGGGAGGGGCAGAGGGAAAGAAAGATCTCATGCAGATTCCCCGCTTAGCACAGAACTATCTCAGACCCTGAGATTAAGACCCGAGGTGAAATCAAGAGTCAGACGCTTAACCGACTGAGCCACCCAGGTACCCCACCTCCCCATTTCCTCTTGAAGAAGAGGGACAGAGACAAGTGGAAAGCCAGGCCCAGGGCACGACCAGTGGATGTGGCCACTTTCATTCACACACTGGGCAAATATGGGACCAAGCCTACTAGACATCCAGAATGATGATGGAGAGCAAATATGGGACCAAGCCTACTAGACATCCAGAATGATGATGGAGACAGACAGGAGCTCAGGGCACGTCAACCAAAATGGACCAGTCTCTGTGCTCCTGGAGCTCAGGGTCTAAAGGCAGAAACAGAGACACCAAGACAGACAGAGAGAGCAAGAGAGAGACAGTCACAAAGAGAGGGTCAGAGAAACGTCCTGCCTTGTGAAGGCAGAGTCGGGGTCCCGGAGAGAAGCGCCTGGCTCTGCTCAGAGCCATTAGAGAGCCAATGGATGGCGGGGGGCTCTGAACCTTGCACCTGCAGGGCCTCAGTCTCTGTCTCTCTGTACCTCTGAGTCTCCCCAGTTCTGTGCCTCCTCCCCCCAACCCCATCCTGTTGCCCCATCACTCCCATCTGTGGCAGTCACCGAGGGAGGGCGAAGGATGGAGGGTGGCAGGTGAATACGGAACCCCGGAAGGCCCCCAGAGACAGGGACAGGGGGACGCACAAACACGTGGGCACACACGGACTCACACACAGGGACACACACTGCCATCGCCACCCAAAAGTAAACACACGCTCACGTATGAAGCGACATAAATACACATAAGCCCACTCACGCACAGAAATATGTACACGACCCCAGGCAGATTCATACGTGGAAACACATCAGCACGTTCCCGTCAATGCAAACAGCGCTTCACATACAAAATCACACGATCCCACAGGTGCAAGGAGGCATGGGGGAGTGATTGCTGGTGCATGCACACAGGGGGACAGGGCATGCCCACCGTGCCTGCGAGACAAATACAACATGCGGGCCACACACACACTCTCGAGGACTTTGGAATCGCAACCATATCATCTCCCCAGACCCATGGGGTTGCCCAAGCAGGAAGTATGGGTCTGTTAGTACCACTCTTTCTTTCAAGTTCTTGGCCGTGATGAGAGGAGAGGCGGGGAGGGGATGAAGTTACATAACGTGGTGGGGAGGCAGGCTCGGGATAAAAGGCTGCGCTCTGGGCTGCAGTAGGGAGGAAGGCAGCTGGACCCAGTCATGGAGCTCAGCGTCCTTCTCCTCCTTGCTCTCCTCACTGGACTCTTGGTTCTGCTGACCAGGGGCCACCCGAAGGCCTATGGCCGCCTCCCGCCGGGTCCCCGTCCTCTGCCCTTCTTGGGGAACGTTCTTCAGATGGACAGGAATGGCTTACTCAAATCCTTCCTCAGGGTAAGATACAGATTGGATGGGGTCTAAGGGCGGGTCCCTGTCTCTGTGCTGGGGGATCACTCACCAGAAGGCGTGAAGGCATCCTTTCAGGCTTGAGGGTGGAGGGAGGAAGGGGCATGGGGGTGCAGCACACTGGACGGTGGTCAGAGAGTCGGATGTCCCTGCTCAGTTGAAGTGTGTGGGTATGGTCCCTGGAGTGGGCAAGGGGGTTTGAAGAGGTGTCTGGGTGTGAGCCATGGTGTAGAATTTCATGTTTCTGCCACCCCTCGGTGGAGTCTCCGGGTACCTGCCGGGCCCTGGAAGAGAGAGAAAAGGGGGTGGTGTCACCCATCAAATAGATCTCTCCTCTGCCAACAGAAGAGGTCAAAGTCTGGTACAGGTTGGGGTCGGTGTCCGGAGGAGGAGGGGCAAAGAGTCCAGGAGGTCGGGCACGGAGTGCAGCAATAATGACCTTGAACGAGCCATAATAGCTAACGTGGGAGTATTTACCAGGCTCTGGATCACTGCTTTCCAGGCATGGTTTCTAGTCTGATGATCCATTCATTTATTAATAATGTTGTTCACACCCACGAACCCACTTCCCAACAGAGGAACTGAATGACCAACAGTAACTTCCAGCTGCCCCATGCTCCTCTGTCTGCTCCTCACGCCATGGCGACCACACTCCTGAATCTTGGCCTGCCATCCCTTTGCTTTTACTAAAGAGGATTTCCCCACATTTACATATTATGTAGTTCTCATTGTTTTCTACATATTATGTAGCTTCATTGCATCACAAGGGCACCGTGCTTTCCCGTAAACTCCCAGACTTGATGTCCTCGCTCAGAATTGTGAGGCTAGGGGCGCCTGGGTGGCTCAGTGGGTTAAAGCCTCTGCCTTCGGCTCAGGTCATGATCCCAGGGTCCTGGGATTGAG